GAACTCCATGTCCGGGTGACTTTCAACACATGATCGCCTGATCTCTTAGCTTCAGTTTCCCTACCTGCAAAATAGGGCTACCAGCAAAATAAGATTCTTTTTTTTCTTCAACTTTTATCTTAAGTTCTGAGGTACATGTGCAGGACGTGCAGGTCTGCCACATAGGTAAACATGTGCCATGGCCATTTGCTGCACAGATCATCCCATCACCTAGGTATTAAGCCCCGCATCCATTAGCTATTCTTCCTGCTGCTCTCCCTCCCCACCACCCCACAAAAAGATTCTTTTTTTTTTTGAGATGGAGTTTCACTCTTGTTGCCCAGGCTGGAGTGCAATGGCGCGATCTCAGCTCACTGCAACCTCCGCCTCCTGGGTTCAAGCGATTCTCCTGCCTCAGCCTCCCAAGTAGCTGGCATTACAGGTGCGGGCCACCACACCCAGCTAATTTTGTATTTTTGGTAGAGACAGGGTTTCACCACGTTGGCCAGGCTGGTCTCCAACTCCTGACCTCAGGTGATCCACCAACCTTGGCCTCCCAAAGTGCTGGGATTACAGGCATGAGCCACTGCACCTGGCCTCCAAAAAGATTTTTAACAGGATTGAGAACGACATGCTCACGTAGTGATCCGCGTGGACTTGGCAGACAGTAAGAGCTTAGGAAAGTTATAGTGGCCTTCGTGGCCTGCAGCAACTGCACCCAATTCTGGTTCCCCAAGAAAAGTTTTTTTTTGTTTGTTTGTTTTTTTAAAGGGCCCCAACCAAGCATCAAGCTCTCTAGCAGGGTAGGGATGGGCAAGGCAGAAGCTAAATGTTTTACACTCACCAGGGGATTTTACATGGGCTTGGGGCAAGGAGGCCTGGGCGCGAGCCCTCACTGTACCTCTTTGAGCCTTTTTGCTCCTGGCCTCTGTCTCCATCTGTACAGAATAATCTGTGAGCAAACCCCGGTGTCTTTCTGGAAGTTCTCTGCTGCCCCCTGGTGGACAAGAGAAGCTCACACCTCAGCGCAGTTCCAGCTATGAATGGAGTCCTTAGCTAGACCACACGCAGTACCAAGTGCCTACGATGATGGGGTCCCTCAAATGTACACATTTGGGGTGCATTTTCACAAGTGACCCTCATTCGGTTATTTCAGCTCTTAAGCCAGGGAGGGAAAGGACTTCCCTCATGGTCCCCCAGCAAGCCACGAGGAGTAGGACTCAAGTCTCTGGATGGCCTTGATCTTAGAGGCGGATGTGTAGGGATGAGTAATGATACCTAGAAATCACAGGGCAGTGAGAGCACCCCTCCATGTCGCCAGCCATGGAGTTATGGGTGCTGTGCTGCTCCAGCTACGCCACGGGGCCTCTTAGTGGACAGGCTGTGGCCCAAGGCCGTAGAAGCTGAGCAAGGTCAGACATTGGAGGAAAGGAGAGGTCATTGCCATTCCATCATTAGCAGGGAAGGACTCAAACCTTGACCACACCCTCTGGTCTGAGTCCCAATGTCCCCGATGTCCCTGTAGGTCCAGTCACTATGTCCTAGCGCTCTGGCCCGGCCCCTTCCTTCTTCCTGGAAAATCCCCTAGGGAGTTGCTTTCCTGGGTCTCCAGCTTACGCTGCCTCCTGATTGATCTCTCACAGTTACCAATCTGATTGGGCTTCACTTCCAAAAACCTGCCGACGCCCCCTGTGCATTCCCGAGCAACACCCCTCAGCCCCGCAGCACCGTCCCACCTACGGGTCATCAGCCACCTCCCCAGCCTTGCTGTCACCACTCCCTGTGTCCCCAAGCTCCAGACCTGTGCATTTATTTTTATTTTTTGGATTACAAATGCATTTCTTTCTCTCTATGTTCTTCCTCTAAACCTTTGCAATTGCTGTTTCCTGTGCCTGGAACCCCTTCCCCTCCACCACGCGCCCACCCCCCTGCACTTTTGTCTGGCTCACTCCTACTCTTGGGGTCTGACTCCCCCGCCCTGGCCTCTGCTTCCCCAACCACTGCTGCCCCCATCCTGTCTTATCATCATCTCACCTCGTGTGTTCCCCAACCCCAGATCTTGAGGGAGCTCCGGGAGGCCTGTCATATGCCCATCCTGTCCCCAGCACCAAGCGTGGAGTATGTATTTGGCAAAAGAATAAGTGGACACGAGAATAAATGATGAGGGGAGAGCCTGGGTGCTGCAGTCAGGCCTATCTGGCCCCAAGGTCACACTGGGTGACCTTAACTAAGTCCCATTCCCTCCCTGAGCCCCAGTATGTGCATCTGAAAATTGAGGCCTCAATTCCATATTGCACCGGACACCCTGAGGCTCTGAGGCCTCTTGCAAGGGGCAAGACCCTCCCCCACAACCAAATGGTTTTAGAACTTAGCAATTCCCATGGTCTCTGCCCTAGGAAGGCAGGGACCCCAGAGCCTCCAGCCTCCCACCCCAGCAGCCAGAAGGGGAAGAAGGGGCGGCAGCTCTCTGACCACTGTTGGCCTTGCAACCTCATGCCCCAAGGTTAATTTTTAAAAAGCAGTCAAAAGTCCAAGTGGCTCTTGGCAGCATTTACACTCCCTGTTTGCTCTGGTTAATAATCTCAGGAGCGTAAACATTCCCGGAGGCAGGAGAAGAGATCAACAGCCTGGACTTCTCCTCTGGGCCTCTCCCCACCCCCAGGAGAGGCTGTGCAACTGAACCCACAGCCCTGTCGAGAGAGGCTAGGGCCTGTGAGTCTCAGGCTTCCCATCTGGACAGTGGGGTTGGTAACCCTAGTCACGCAGGCCTAACACGAGGGGCAGCGAGCCATCTTGGTGCACTGTAAGCAGACTTAGCAGGGTGACTTTATTCCTATTAACAGTTCATTGTTATTTATTTATCCTTATACCAGGCCTACCTTCTCCAAAGACAGACGCCCTGAGTCACCACACAGGTAAAGCAGTGGACAGTTTATAGAACACGTCCTCACATGTTGTCTCTCTTGACCTTTTGACAGACAGAACAAGAACTGTTATCTGCAATTCACAGATTAGGAAACTGGGCTTTAGAGAGGGAAAGCCACCCTCAATGTCACACGGAACAAGGAGAAGTTGGGGTTACCACTTCCTCGCTACCATCACGAACCAAATCATCAAAGATTAAGGAACTCTGTGAACACAAGGAACACAAAGATAACTGTTCCAGAAAGCTAAACCAAGACAGTAACTGTGTTAAACTTACATCATGGCTTTGAGCTTCCTAGCAGCCAAAGCAAGAAGGGAATGCCATCACTGGCCCAGGTTAGGGTGATGGAGCAAGAGAAACACATTATGAATAGAAGCACACTTGTTCCAGATACCAGTGAAAGAGGGATGGACTACTGAATCTTACAGAAGGGACATGATACACCATTTTTTTCTGCATTGACTACGTAGGGACCCCTCTATTCTCACATAAGCAGGGATCTTATCCTTGGGACTGCCTGCATGAAGAATTCATTCCCAGCTGTAGCAGACAAGTGGCTGAGAGTATGGAATGTTCCATGCCAAGAGCAGGAAGGATGTAAAGACAGTAGCTTTGACCACTGGGAAAGGAAATTCATAGGGGGGCCTGTGGTATTGCGGGCAAGAGTGTGAGCTCACAGACAAATCGACCTGGGTTAAAAAAAAAATTCTCATTTAAAATCTTAAATTTAGGCTGGGCATGGTGGCTCATACCTGTAATCTCAGCACTTTGGGAGGCTGAGGTGGTAGGATCACCGGAGGTCAGGAGTTCGAGACCAGCCTGGCCAACATGGTGAAACCCTGTCTCTACTAAAAATACAAAAATTAGCCAGGCGTGGTGGCTAATTAACTAATGACAATTAATTAATTAATTAAACCTTAGGTTTAATAACTACCACATTAGTTTCCTAGGGCTGCTAGGAAATATGTCTTCTCTCAGCGCCGGAGGTCAGACATCTGAGACCAAGATGTCAGCAGAGCCACGTTTCCTCTGAAGGCTCTGGGGGAAAGTCCCTCCTTGCCTTTTGCTAGCTTTTGGTGGCTGCCATCAGTCCCTGGCAATCTTTGACTTACAGCTGCATCCCTCCCATCTCTGCCCCGGCTTCACACCACGCCTTCCCCGTGCGTCTCTCTGTCTCTGTGTCTGAGTCTCCCTCACCATTCTCTTATAAAGATACTGGTCATTGGATTTAGGACCCCTGACATCAGTTTGATGCCTCATCTAACTAATCACATCTGCAATCAGGTTCATTCTGCAGTTCTGGGTGGGCATGGATTTTGGAGGGGGCACTGTTCAAGCCTCCCCAAACACATAGCTCTTAATTCTATGCTGGGACTATCCTGGGGCATTGCAAGTGCTCGCTCAGCAAGGCCGGGAGCTAGGACTATGATTACCCCCATTTACAGATGAGGGAAACAAGGCACTGAGAGGTAAAGTGACTTGCCCAAGGTCACACAGCAGTGAGTGCCACCGTAGGCTGTCTGGCCCCCATGTCCATGGTCTCAACCATGCCTTTCCCAGCTACTCCACTCCCGGAGTAGGAGATGCTGGGCAAGTCACTTCACTTCTTGGTGACTCAACTCATCTGCCTGTAAAGGGGACAAATAGCGCCTACTTCATAAGCTTGTTGTGGGGATTCAGCGGACGCCTGTGGCGCGTGTAAAGTGCCTGGTACGCAGCAGCACAGAGCAGGTGCTCAGTGAACGGAAGCTCAGAACGGTCATCATCGTTAACATGTCTATTAGTTGCAAGCCTGGGGGTGGGGGAAGGAGCTCTGGGGACAGGATACCTGGGTTCAGGTCTTGGTTCTGCCCATACACCTCCCTGAGGTCTCTGGCAAGTCACTTCCTCTCCCTGGGCCTCAGTTTTTTCCTCTGAGAAATGGGCCCAATCAGGCTTCACCTGCTGGCTCACAGGGTTCTGAGGTCCTGATGGCATGACTCAGCAGAAAGGCCAGGTCGCCCCATCCTCGCTTGCCCCCAGTGACAGGTGGGGAACCTGTGCGAAAGACTTTTGGGGGACAGAGCCCAACTCTGGTGCCCCAGGGCCCTATGGTGCTTGGCCAATGCCTCTTCTGAAGCAGCCACACTGGCCTCTTGGTACCGCTGACCCCAGCCAGGCTACAGGGATTGATTGCAGCTGGCCTTGAAGCCATAACTGACCCCAGCTGAGCAGGGCAAACATTGAGGTCACCTACAAGCTACAGGCCCCTTTCCCAGCCTCAGTTCACAGCTGCCCCAGGCAGGGAGGCGGTGGCCCTTCTGTCACTAGACCAAGCCTGTGGGAGACACCAAGGCCCAGGAGCCCAGAGCCATGAGGAGCCTCGGGGCCCTGCTCTTGCTGCTGAGCGCCTGCATGGCAGTGAGCGCTGGCCCTGTGCCGACGCCACCCGAAGGCATCCAAGTGCAGGAAAACTTCAATATCTCTCGGGTGAGGCTGCCGCTCTCTGTGCTGGGGTGGAGGTGGTGATGGGGTGTGCAGGCAGGTGGGTAATGCTGGGTAAATGCTGCCTGCCTGGGGGTCTCGGGCTCCCACTCAGCCCCTTTGGGATTATGGGATCCTTGAAGGTACAACTCAATCCCCTGCCTTTCTGTGGAACTCTGGCCGACAGTCTCTGAGTCAAACGTCCTCACTTTCTGCACTGTCCTCGTGGACGCCGAAGGGAACCCTTGTGTTCACGGGAACCCGCTCCAGGGACGGCTTTGTCCTGCCTGTCCCATGCCGGCACCTAGCTTTGCCCAGACCTTGCTGCCCACCCCACTCCCAGCCCTCTCCCTGTGGTGTCTTTCCCTTAGCTCTTCCTGCGTCCCCTGCCCACGTCCCAGCCTGACTGCGGACAGAGACCTGGGGTGGCACAGGGTGGGCGGTGGCCGGCAGCTTTCGGTTGGGCGTGCAGGGCTTATGGGAAAGGGTGAAGCAGGACAGAGATGGCAGTTGGGGGACATTCAGAGGCTTAGGTACAGGAGAGACCTGGACAGGGGCAGGACATTATCCTGCGAGGGTGGAGTTCCAGAGCTGCCTACCAGCCCCTGCTCTGCCCTGAATCCCAGGGTGGCTTTGAGTAAACGCTTATCCGCCTGGGGCTCAGTCTCCATGTCCGTATGAAGGGTCTCAGACACTTCCAGCTGTAGTGTCATGGGTTTTGTTTACTTCTAGGGACAAGGAAAGGTTGTGGCAGAGGGGCAGTGAGGAGCAGGTTCCCTGTGGCAGTCTGGGATGCAAAGGGCCTGGGGCACGTTGGCCTGCACCACAGGAGCGTGAGGGTTCACTCAGCCGTCCGTGCACTTTCAGGAGGAAGAGGCAGGAGGCCTGTTCTGAATGACCTCATCATGTTCATTATACTTTTGAAATACTTCCCAATATGGGGCTGTGGGCTGCCTTGTAAGGTGGGGAGCACCTCATCACTGGAGGAGGAAAAGACAGGACTCCAGCTCTTGGGGAGCAGCGGTTGATGGAGCTCTGGACAGATCCCACATCTCAATAGAGTAAGCCCTTCTGCAGGGCAGGCTGGGACCCCAGCCACATACCTGCTTCCTGGGCTTGCTGTGGTGCCTGAGTCTCCACTCTTGGGGGATCTGTCCTCCCTTGAAGGCGTGTGGTCGCCAATTAGTTGTAAGACATTATTCCTTAGAAAGATAAGTCATTGTGAGGAGGAGGAGGAAGAGGCGGAGGGTGGGGACCAGATGTCAGCCAGGTCTGCTTTGAGGCCTGAGACTGACGCAGACCACCAGAGCTCACCTGCCTCCTAGATCTACGGGAAGTGGTACAACCTGGCCATCGGTTCCACGTGCCCCTGGCTAAAGAAGATCATGCATAAGTTGAAAGTGAGCACGCTGGTGCTGGAAGAGGGCGCCACGGAGTCGGAGATCAGCATGACCAGCACTCGCTGGCGGTGAGCGTAGGGGTGGGGTGGGAAAGGTCCCCCCCAGAGGAACCGAGAGACCCCCGTGCCTTCCCAGCCCCGCCCACCCTGGGAAGTGCAGATCTCTGCTTCCAACCCGGACCTTCCCGCTGAACCCAGATCCCTCTCCCCTCCTCCATCAGGACGGCCCTTTTCAGGTGTCCTATCTCTTCCTCAAGGGTGATGTCCCCGCACTGTGCCTGCTCTGCAAACTGCTGCTCCCCCTTGATCGTTCCTTAGCCCAGTGTGGGCACTCCTACCCCCCAGGGACCCAACTGGGAACTGGGCTCCTCTCTCCACCGTCACCCATCATAAAGTCCTGCCCGTTCTCCTAAATCCCTGCAACCTGCTTACTTCTCCCCTCCCCATTGCCACCGCCCCGGTCCAAGCCACCTCCCTTTCTTTCCTGGCTGTCTGCCACAACCTCTCCACAACCCATCCACTCTTCACCCAGTAGCCAGAAATATCTTTTGAAAACTCAAATCTGCTCAAGACCCTTCCATGATTCCCCACTGCCCTGGGAGTAAGACTCAAACCCTTGATGTGGCTTTCCGGGACCCTCCCACAGAACTCCCCGCCACACGCTCTGCCATGTACTCTGAGTCCTATCCATGTGGACCTTCTCTCGGTTCTGGAACTCTCACTCCTCCAGGTCTTTGCACCTGATGTTCCTTTTACTGAGAGCACCTCTCCCCACTTCCCTGGGCTAATTAATTCCAGTGGATCCATCAGAACTTAAGTTTCTTGTCACCTCCTCCAGGAAGCCCTCCCAGACACCCAGGTTCAGGTTATACTCCCCTCTGCGTGCCCAAAGAGCACCTCATGGTCCACCTCCCACCCATGTGGCACTTCTCACACTGATTACATCTGCCTCCAGCCTGCCTGCCTGCTCCACACGATTGCAAGCTCCAGGAACTCCAGGGGTTGGGGTTTGTCTTTTGCTTGCTTATGTACCCCTGGCATGTAGCACAGCGCTTGTTACATAGATGTTGCCCAATAAATGTTCATTGGGTAAGCAGTGCTCATTGGAATAGTAATAGCTAATACATATATACTGCTTCCTCCAAGCTCTTTACATAGGCGGGGTCAGCGGATCCTCACACCAACCATGTGAGGTAGAAACTGTCATCATCCCCGTTTGATAAATGAGAAAACTGGGGCGAGAGAGACACAGAACAATACACGAATGAGTGCAGGAATTCCTCATCCCATTCCTCCTGCCTCCGTATCATGCGTAGATTTGATTAAAGAAGGCAGTTCTAGTGCTGGCTTTGCTAGGAGCCTGGCTTGGATTAGTCTCTTCTCTGTCCCTCTGTCATATGTAAAATGGGGGTCTCTTGGGGCCAGTGTGAGGATTAAAAAGACATTTGGAAATGCTCATTTCCAAATTAAAAAGCAAACAAAAACATGCAAACAACGACAACAAAAACTCCCCCAAACCAAGGCATTCGGAAAGAGCCCTGCGGGAGGGTGGGGTGTCAGGAGCATGCTCTCGACCAGGAGTGACCTTCCTTTTGGTTTGTTCATTTCTAGGAAAGGTTTCTGTGAGCAGACTTCTTGGGCTTATGAGAAAACAGATACTGATGGGAAGTTTCTCTATCACGAATCCAGTAAGCGGAGTGGAAACAGACATGCACATTCTCGCCTTTGCTGGAAAATACCTTGGTCTCCTCAGCCCCCTCTGCCTCTGTGACCTTTTTTCCCATTAAGTTGTCATTGAGCCTTCCAGACAACTCCTCCTCTTCCTCCTCCTTCTCCTCCTCTCCTCCCCTCCTTCCCTCTCTCGTTCCCTGCCCTCCAGTACCCTCGCCCAGAGTAAGTGATGGTGCTGATTTCACCACTCTTCATGTCTTCTTCATATCAGCTGATAAACATTTACTAAGCATCTACCATGTACAGTGAGCATGATGCTAAGTGTGAGAGGGATTTGGACATAAATTTATCTGTTAGTTCAGAAAATGTTTATTGAATATGCTCTATGTGCCAAATAATTGTGTTAGGGCTGAATATATGAATGTGTGGCTAGATAGATGGGTGAATGAACAAATGATTGGTAACTGAATATATAACTGGATAAATGAGCCAATCAGTCAGTTACCTAATAGGTAAATTGATGGGGTAATAGGGGAAAGAAGGAAGGAAGAAACGAAGGGAGATGGATTGATGCATGGAGAGGATAAATGGATTGAGTGATGGTGGATGAATTAATGTGAGCACATGAAGGAGACAGATGGGTGGATAGGGAGAGACTGAATATGGATGAATTGATAAATGGATATGTGGGAGGCATGGCTGGATAGATGGGTGGATGAGATGGTGTGTGGGTGAATAGGTGATGGACCTCCTGATAGAAGAGTCTTCTGCCCACTGATCCCTTTGGTCTGTCTGCATCTCCCATGCAGAATGGAACGTAACCATGGAGTCCTATGTGGCCCACACCAACTATGATGAGTATGCCATTTTCCTGACCAAGAAATTCAGCCGCCATCATGGACCCACCATTACTGCCAAGCTCTACGGTAAAGGCTTATTACTAGATATACCCACTGGAGTTGAGGGTGGGAGAACGTTGATTTAAGGACAGTGGAGTGGGTAAGGACAGGGAGTTTTGCTTCTTCCTTCTGACAAAACTCCAATTTGGAGAAAGGTGCAACCATTGAGTCTCCCTGGAGAAGGCAAAATTCTCTTCTTTTGATCTCTAAAATTCCAGGCCCAGAGGATTAGAGCCTCCAGGCCCTTAAAAAGAATCAGCTGGGACTGAGTGCCGTGGCTCACGTCTGCAATCCCAACACCTTGAGAGGCCAAGGCAAGAGGATTGCTTTAGGCCAGGAGTTTGAGACCAGCTTGGGCAACATACTGAGACTGCATCTCTAAGAAAAATTAAAGAATTAGCTGGGCATGGTGGCATGTGCCTGCAGCCGTAGCTACTCAGGAGGCTTAGGTAGGAATGTTGCTTGAGCCCAGGAGTTTGAGGCTGCCGTGAGCCATGATTGTGCCACTGCATTCCAGCCTGGGCAACAGGGCAAGACCCTGTCTCAAAAAAAAAAAAAAAAAAAAGGGAAGAGTCCCCTGTGGGGACTCAGGAGACGTGGATGGGAACCTGAGAGGAACCCCTCTTCCTCTTGGGAGCCTGTCTTTCCCTAAGTGGATCAAATAGATTAAACTGCATCAGTAGTTTTCAAATTTTCTCTAAGTGAAAATCACTGGGCAAAATCATTTCAGGCCCTTCCACTCCAGGCACCTGGTGGTTCTAGGCATCTCCTCTGCTTCCTCCTTGCAGGGCGGGAGCCACAGCTGAGGGAAAGCCTCCTGCAGGACTTCAGAGTGGTTGCCCAGGGTGTGGGCATCCCTGAGGATTCCATCTTCACCATGGCTGACCGAGGTACGTAGCACCCCCCACCTCAAATTCCTGGCCCCTCTTCATCCCTTATGGGCCCCAGAGACTGTCTCAGCCCCTGGATCCTTACTGTAACCCTCTGAGATAAAGAGGGGCCACAGCCTCCCTTCTATAGTGAATCAGGAAGCCAATGGATTTGCTCCAAGTCTCACAGCTTATTCCTAGCAGAGCTTAGACTAGAACCCATGTGTCTCAGGGAGGTGGTAGCCAGAATCCATAGCTACCTCTTAGGAGGCAAAAGAGTTTTGGAATTAAGAGCATGGGCTCAGGAATCAGAGTGTTATGGGATCTTTGAGGCATTGCTTTTCTGGCTGTAAACCTCTGTGGCCGGTGGTATCTTTGCCTGAGTTTTGCTTGGGCCTGCTGGGCTTGTTCCATCCACTTGGCCTGGCAGGCTGTGCCTGGCTCTCACGCTGCTGGCCTGGGTCCCACACTTCAAAGGGAGACCAAGACTCAGGCATGAAGCAGCAAGGGGTGTGTAAGTGAGCGTGGGGTCCAGCCACTGCAGTCAGACCTGCTGGCTGCTGCCATGGAGTGGGCAGCTCCAGGTGTTGGCATGGGTGTCAGCTGTCTGTTAGGGTGTGGCTGGACCAGATGCACCACAAGCAGCTTCCCAGCTGGCACCATGGAATGCAGTGGTGCCTGGAAGCTTGGAGATGCCACAAACTGCAGGGTCCCAAAGAGGGAGTCACAGTCCTGGCTCGGGGAGCTCCCAGGTCTGGGCTCCCCAAAGGGCTGCAGCTTTTCTCTCCTTCTCTTCACCTGCAATGTGGTGGGCAACGGGCATGTTTCAGCCCTGTTTGTGTTACAGTTATTTTAACCTTGCCATTTGGTGGGTCCCAAGTTCTTGTCCTGTGACAAGAAAGAATGAGGTATGCAGACAATAGGAGGGTGAGCAAGGTGAAGGGGAGTTTTACTGAGCAATAGAACAGCTTGGAGGAGATCACAGTGGGTAGCTCCTTTCCATAGCCAGCCAGTTCCAGTGAGTGTTCAGCACCTAGCAGAGAGGAGTCCCTGGAATGGGAAGTTCTTCTCTGCAGGCAGGTCAACTGCTGAGGCTGCAGCTCTCAGCAGAGGAGGCCCTAGAGTGGGTGTCTCCTCTCTGCAGGCAGGTCATCTTATTGTCTCCCTGTCCTCTCTTCAAATCTGGCTGAGTCTGGGGTTGTCATCTCTGTCCTTTCTTCAAGCCTGGCTGAGTTTGGGGTTTTTATGGGCCTCAGAGGGGAGGAAGTTCATACTATGGACTGGCCCATGGGTGGCCATGGGGAGGCCCAGGGAAAAGCACTACAAGTTCTTCATCTGGTTCACAGGACTGGAGGCCCAGCCCCCAGACTTCAGGCCCTCCCCAGCTTGAAGGTGATGCTTCACTGGGGACCAGCCCCCTTCCAATCAGGAGCGTGTCAGCTTCCTGCTACTATTCATGGCACCCAGGCTGTTCATTCAAAGGGTTGCCTGCAGGCCAGTGCCAGGTTGCCATCAGCCCCCTTGGCCTCCTTCCCATGCTTGTTGGCACCCAAAGTCTGGAGGGCTGAGGTGGCGGGGGACTGGGATGTCAGCACTTCCCTGAGCGTTTGCACACCTGGCCAACCTGCAACAGTACCCTGGCTTGGCCTTAATCTTGATCTGAGATCAAAGCAGGAACCAACAGCAGGGAGAAGCCAGGCAGTGGGAACAGGCACCCTAGAGTCTGCAGTGGGCAGGGCACCTGAGAGTGCAGAGATGCCTGGGTCAACCGCCACAGCAGGGTGGCTACAGCTGCACTCAGGGAGCTCCTGCCCCAGCAACTCAGAAGGGGGAGGGCTCCCACTGTGCCCAGCTCCCACCAATTCCGTGGAGTGTGCAGCCCCAGCCACACTCCTTACAGCCTGGGGCAGGGGCTGCAGGTCCAAGCTGGGTCCATGCCAGTGTCTGGGTCTGAGGTGACATGGTGGCAAGCTCCCTCCATGGCCCCAATGCTCAGGGGTGGCCTGAGGCTCTCCTTGCCTAGCTTGCAGCCCTACCCAAGGGTGGGGGGAATTCCTTCAGGAGCAGATTGTAGGCCCCAGGCTCAGCCATCAGGAGTGTCAGGCTTGGCAGTCACCCCAATGTGGGGCAGACCCTGAGGACATGGTGGCCCCCAGTGGCCCCACACAGAGCCTCCTCATGAGGCACAGGAATCCAGTGCCCTCAGTGGGATGGACATGGTGGTCGCACCACTGGCTGGGTCCCTGAAGTGGGCGCCACTCCTATTACCTGTCCTGGGTCCCTGAAGCACGGCCCCAGCTCCAAGCCCCGGGCCCACCTCCATGCTCTGTGTGCAAGTATGGCACTGCCCAGCTATGCCTTGGGAACCCTCTCTGCCCAATTGCATTGTTCCCCTGCTGACAGATGACTTGGCCCAACCCCACTGTGACGGCCCCCAGGGGTGGGCTCCAGGACTCTCTACCTCCTCCCACACCCTCTCTGCCATGATGGTGGGCCAGAATGGCAATGTGGGCTAGGGTCTAGAGCAGCAGAGGCTCTGGGCCTGGGAGTGGGTTCTACCTGGCTACACAAAGATGGGGGCAGCACAGTTGCCCGCCTCAGGGACGTAAGGCACAGGGGTCCCAGCTCCACCACTGCCACTCCCAAAGTCACTCCTACCACCACTGCACGTGCCTCCCCCGTTCGATGGCAGAGGCCACTCCGGATGGCCCACTGCTGCCATCACAAGCACCTGGATTCAGACTTAGCTATGTGGCCTCCGGCTAGTCACCCTCTCAGAGCCTCATTTCCCACTTCTGTAAATCGGGCATAATACTGCCTTCCTTAGAAATTGCTGTAAAAGGCAATGCAATAAAACCATTAAGCCCAACAGCACTGTGCTCATAAATGCTTAGCCAGTGTTCGCTATTGCTGTTCTGCCATGATGCCGACAAAATGATGCAGGTGGGGTGGGGTGGAGTGGACAGATGGGAATGATGGTGCAGCCACCAGTCTGTTGCTTTTGCAGTGAATGGCCTTGAGCAAGCCACGCGGGCAGGACCATTGATGAAGTGGACTAAGGCACAAGAAGTTCCCAGCACGATGCTCACCAAAGTTACAGATCTGGGTCTAGGATGGCCCCTGAGCCTGGTCCTCTTACTCACGCCTCTCTCCTGCTCTGTGACCTAGGTGAATGCGTCCCTGGGGAGCAGGAACCACAGCCAATCCTACACCGGGTGAGTGCCTCAGCCCCCCACCGCATGCCACTCAACTCTGCCCCAGGCACACTGCACACTTGATCCTGCTGCGGTACGAGGCAGAGTCATGGGGAGGGGTTGAGAGAAGGTAGTGATGGGCATGAGTGTTGAAGTCAGACTCACTGGGGCTCCATCCTGATTCTGCCACCTGGGATAGCTGATGATCCATCTGGACCTCATTTTCTCATCTTCGAAATAGGATGATTACACTTTCCTTCCAGGCTTGTGGAAGAATTTAATGCCATATAGAAAAGTTCTTAACACAGTGCCTACAAGTGTCTAAAAGAAGTTAACACTCAATAATGAAATAACAATACTCAATAATGAAATAATGATATTCAGTCCATGAAAATCAATCAACTGGTCTCCCTAAAAATCAGCAAACCTGAGAACAGACAGCTTCTCAAACCATCTCTTTTCCTGTGTTGCCTCCTGATTTTTGGGGCTTCCTTATGCTTCCCTTTTATTTTCCTGCCTTTTGCCACGTTGATTACGCTTTCTTCATTCTCTTTTCTCTGATTATTTGGAAAATCACATATCCTATTCTACTGTTGTTGTAAGTCTGTACGTGGGTGTATATCTGTGTGTGTACGTATATAAGTGTATGTAATATTTATTTAGAAAAATATTATTGAAAATTGAAAAACTATGAACCCTCCACAAAAAGACAAAATGTCCTTGTTCCTACATAGAGTCAACAGTTAACACATTATATATTTGCGCCCATATTTTAAAAGAAAATGACCATTGCTTTTATAAAACTAATAAATGTTCATTATAAAGAATTAAAGTAATGCAGAAAAGTATAAAGATAAGTAAAAGATTTTTTTTTTAAATCACACCACCTCGAAGCTATCAGCAGTCACACGATTTCTGGAATCTTGCCTCACATGTGGGTAAAAGGACTTATAGAAAAAAGGACAAATTGATGATCATATTTAGATATACTATTATTAAATGGGATTATACTACAGGTGATATTTTTAATTTTTAAAAGCATTATTTGTAGTTTTACTTGAATTTTTTTTTTTTTTTTGAGATGGAGTCCCACTCTGTCACCCAGGCTGGAGTGCAGTGACACGATCTCAGCCCACTGCCACCTCTGCCTCCTGGGTTCAAGTGATTCTCCTGCCTCAGCCTCCTGAGTAGCTGTGATTACACACACCCACCACCACACCCAGCTAATTTTTATTTTTATTTTTTTTAGTAAGGACAGGGTTTTGCCATGTTGGCCAGGTGGGTCTTGAACACCTGACCTCAGAAGATCTGCCTTCTTTGGCCTCCCAATGTGCTGGGATTACAGGCAAGAGCCACTGTGCCTCGTCTTTTGATTTTTTTTTTCTTTTTTTTTTTTAAAGAAACTAAAGTGGGCTTCTTGAATTTCAAATAAATATTTATTCACAAGAAGATTGATGTCCTAAAGATTCTTCTAAAGTTAAGGTTGTGAAAAGACATTTAAGAGGTTGCCATCACTGTATATTTTTAAAGAGTGGATTCTGACTAGCGTGAGATGGTATTTCAATGTGGTTTTGATTCGCATTTGTCTAATGACCAGTGATGATGAGCATTTTTTCATGTTTGTTGGCCTCGTATACGTCTTCTTTTGAAAAGTGTCTGTTCATATACTTTGCCCACTTTTGAATGGGTTTGTTTGTTTTTTTCTTGTAAATCTGTTTTAGTTCTTTGTAGATTCTGGATATTAGCCCTTTGTCAGATGGGTAGATTGCAAAAAATTTTTCCCATTCTGTTGGTTGCTGGTTCACTCTAATGCTTGTTTCTTTTGCTGTGCAGAAGCTCTGGAGTTTAATTAGATCCCGTTTGTCTATTTTGGCTTTTGTTGCCATTGCTTTTGGTGTTTTAGGCATGAAGTCCTTGCCTACGCCTATGTCCTGGATGGTATTAATAGCCTAGGTTTTCTTCTAGCATTTTTATGGTGTTAGGTCTTATGTTTAAATCTTTAATCCATCTGGAGTTAATTTTTTAATGTTCAACAATTTTCTACTTTCACATACTCATTTCCACCACTGTTGGCTCCTGTTATATGGATGTATGTCATCTTTTTTTTTTTCTTTTGGTTACATGTCATCTTGAATTTCAGGGACGGTTTAAGTATTCCTGTTTCTTATTGCCATCAACCTGAATTCCAGAACATCCAGAATGTCTCCCATTTAATGAGGATATTTCTTCAGCCCAACCCAATTCTGGCAGTTGCAGGATTTAACTTGTCCCATGGTTTTTCTCCGTTTCTCTATCCTTATCAAGGAAAGCCTATATGCCACCAGCTTGAGACTGGTCTGGAAGACAGTGGAAATTCTTGACAGTTTTCACAGTGTGTTGCCCCTGAAAAGGAGATGGGAAATTCTGAGGTTACTACAGATACCTTCTCGAGTTCCAGGTCTCACCTGTGGGCAGGGCTGCTGTCTACTGGCCAGCAGTTTCCTGGTCATCTCTTGACAGCTTTGACAGCCTTCCCTGCTCTGCAGTCCCCACCACCACAACAAGGAGTTAGGATCAGTCTCAGGGTCCCTTCTTTCTCTCTGGATTTTTTCTGCAAGCAGCTAATGATGATCTGGTCAGCCCTTCCTGCAAACCAGGTGCACCTGTGCTCTGTCATGCAAAAATGCCTTCACATCTTTAGTGTGAGGATGCTGCTCTCCTCTGGGAGATAGCCTTTTTTCATTACTATATTCTTGTAGGCACTTCAACTGGAAGTTGGATATGGGGCTATTGTCCTAACTCATGGTTCTGAATTTCATTTCAGACCAGAAATCTGTCCTGTGATGCCTATTTGGGAATTCCGGTTGATGCTTTTGGGAAAATGGTTCATTAACCAGTCTAGGAGCTGTGTTACTACTTATACCCTGATTCCCAAAGCAAGCTGTTCATTTGTATATTCCAGGGGTACAGGAAAGTAATAGTGGCAAGGGGTCTGCAACTTCTTCTTCTTTTTCTGTCCCCCTAGAGAGCCCAGAGGGCTGTGCTCCCCCAAGAAGAGGAAGGATCAGGGGGTGGACAGCTGGTAACTGATGCCGCCAAGAAGGAAGGTAATGAGCACCTGCCTTTTCAGCCCCTCTGCCATACTTCAGAGAGGAAGGGCCCATAGTTGGCTCACCCTGGCTGCTCTCATCACTGCAAAGGCTCTTTATCTGTTAGAGACTCGAGGGCTGGACTGAGAAAAGGCAAATCAAGTACTCTGCACTCTGCCAGGGGATGTGGGGGCAGAATGAGGAGCATGAGGCGTGGTCCTGAGTTTGAGAACTGTCAGCTTCGTGATGAGAAGCTGGTCCTTGCCCTGTCTGTATGACTGTGTGGCCTCCTAGCCTTGGTTTCCTCATCTGTATTATGGGATAATAACCTGTGGGGCTGAACATCAGGGCTCTTGTAGGAGCAGGTGGGGGAGGGACATGGGAATGCTTTGTGTAGTAGTTGACAGTGTTCAGGAACAACCTCCTCTCCAACTCGCTCAGCAAACCCTGAACCTGCGCTGCCCCAGGCCCTGTGCTGGGCACTGGGGTCATATAGACCACTTGTCGTTTTGGAACTCCTGGTCTAGTGGGAGGCATCCAAGGGAGAAGGTTATGGACCCCAAAGGAAGGGTCTGTTAAAGGGCGGGGGGAGCTGAGAGGTTGGAGGGTGGGGGCATCAGGAGACGTCATGGATAAAAGGGAATTCTTGTGTGTCCAGGCATCCAGGTAAAATTTTATGAAGGGTGGCATTTCAGGGGGCAAGGAACAATGGGAGCAAAGGCAGGATGGGTGGGACTTGGTGAAAAGGTCAGGCTGGCCAGTGTGGTGCTGGTGAATATGTCATCAGCTACTATTACAGAGTTTTGGGGCAGACAAGACCAATACAGGGGGACAGTGGGTCTGTGGTTCACTTGTAACTCCCCATAACATGGAGTGGAATGAGCACTGGTTTTGGAGACAGGATTTTAAATCTTATCTCTATGTGATCCTGGGCAAGTTACTTCATCTCTCTGAGGGTCAGTCTGCTTATCAAAAAAGAGTTGATAATCCTTTTAGTGAACATTAAATGAAATGACACGTATTAGGCGCCCAGCCTGATCCCAGGTACACAGTCAACACTTGATCAGTGCTGCTGGTCTGCCCCTCCCTAGATTCCTGCCAGCTGGGCCCCTCGGCAGGCCCCTGCATGGGAATGAGCTACAGGTATTTCTATAACGGCACATCCATGGCCTGTGAGACTTTCCAGTATGGCGGCTGTATGGGCAATGCTAACAACTTCATCACAGAGAAGGAGTGTCTGCAGACCTGCCGGACTGTGGGTGAGTGCGGGCCCCCACCCTGGTGCACTCAGCACCCTCAAGACCCTGTCCCTCCAGTAAACCACCTGCTAATTGAAAAGGTAGCTAAGAGAGGGCACTCCAGTAGAACTCCAGGTGGTTTCCTGAAATCATAGGAATTCCACATTTGGATGTGGAAGACTTCAGGCAAATCATTTTCTTTCTGTGGGCATCAGTTTCCCCATCTGTCAAAGAGGGATGAGGTGTTCTAGACGAGCAGGGCCCTCTGGCTCAGCAGTCCCATGTATGTCTGATCAGCAGTCGCAAGGGTTTCTCATGTTCCATGCCTCTCCCCACTCCACAGCGGCCTGCAATCTCCCCATAGTCCGGGGCCCCTGCCGAGCCTTCAACGAGCTCTGGGCATTTGATGCTGTCCAGGGAAAGTGTGTCCAATTCATCTACGGGGGCTGCCAAGGCAACGGGAACAAGTTCTACTCAGAGAAGGAGTGCAGAGAGTACTGCGGTGTTCCCGGTGATGGTAGGCAGCCCTGCGGGGTACCAGGCTGGGGCGAGGGGCTGTGGGAGTCCAGGGGGGAAGGCCCTGGGAGGAGCAGGGGTCTGGAGAGCTGAGTTCAGGACTCTCTACCCGGTAAGCAGCCCATCTACTCTCTGAAATGGGATTGAGCCAGAGGCCTTACCCCAGCTAGAATTGGGCCCTGGGGAGGTACTAGTCAGGCATCTGCAGAGGGTATGTAGGGCTGGCTGAGGAGCGGGGCAGAGCTGGGCTTTCCTTCTGCGCCTGCAACGTTGAGCAAGTGCCAACGAGTATCAGTTTCCTCTGTAACATGGGACAAAGCATCTGCCTTCAGCCTTCCAGTACCTGACGTGGAATTAGTACTCAGCTAATGGCAACTGCTACTACTAATAACAACGATGGCAGTGATAGCATTCCAGGAAACAGCACCATTCAGGGTGTCTGTGCCTTGATTTTCCCGCTGGAAAATGGCACCTGCGGTAAATCAGAAGAGGAAAAAGCTCCGATCATTTTGTGGAATGCCCTTTGGAGATCAATCATTCAGCAAGGAGAGGATACTGGCCCCGGGTGACAGCTGTCTTCCCTCCCCTGAATGTCCCTGCCCACGGACCCTTCCCTGAGTCTCTCTCTGTCCACAGGGGACGAGGAGCTGCTGCGCTTCTCCAACTGACAACTGGCCGGTCTAAAGTCAGAGCATGGCCAGTGTCTCTCCCGGGGTCCTGCGGCAGGCCACACCAAGCAACCTGGGTCCAAATAAAACCTAAATTGTGAACCCCTGAAATTCTGTGTCCTCATTGTTCATTGTCATCACAAGTGTAACCGGGAGGCAGAGGGGAGAAAAGGCCAGGGTGGGGCGATCTGCAACCCCAGCTTTCCCTAGATATGAAAACTCCATTGGAAACGCAATAGAACTATCTTCAGTACATGACATTGGCTATGCATATTCTGAAACAAATCACAGCTCTATTTACAATAGTGTAAAATGGAATGATTTTGTTTTGTTTTAATAAGGTTAGGAAAGAAAGGAGGAAGCAGCTCTGGGAACTTGTTTCTGGGAGAGGTTTGATGGGTCATCAGTGACCCAGGCTCAGAGGGAATAATTGTGCTCTGCAGTGCCCAGGCAGCTCAGAGCAGACAGCCCACAAGTGCATGAAATGAGTCCCCTGTGCTTTGCCACACCAAACACCTCCCCAAGGTTTTACATCAGCTGCAGCCACATCCCCAGAACCAGCTGCCTGGAACTGGAAAGCCTCAGGTGTTTCTTTTCATGGTTTTGGGGACCCCATCCCCTGGGACCTTCCCCTGGGCCTTTGTCTTGGAAGGAGAGTGCTCACTGGCCTTCGCATTGTGACCAGGGCAACTGCATTGTGTCCAGGCATTTGACTATGACACTTGCTACAACTTTTCACTAAAAATAAATTCACAATGCTCATCTCAAAAGGTGCTAGGAATCTTTCTCAGCCCTTGGTCTGGCCTGGCTTCTCCTCATTCTTAGGAAAGGGACTAGATGGGCTGTCCAGAGCAGCTCAGGACACACCTGGCCCAAGAGCAGGACTCCAAGAGCCTCCAGTGTAGACACACAGGCTTTATAAACATCTGATTTATAAATACCTCTTGCTACCTGCATTCACCCAGAGCCCCGGCGGCAGCTGCGGCCGTAGAGGAATTGGAAGCCCCAGCTTCGTGGGCTCTGATGTGAAGAGCTGACCCCAGCAGAGAAACCCAGGCAGGGACCTACCTCCTCCCCTCTGTGGGTGACCAGCATCCTAAGGGCTGATGGCTAGTCCAGTCCCGGGTTCATCTTTTGTGCTCATTTGCTTAAGAGACCAGCCAGGAAAGGAGGGATTCCACAGTTCTGCTTGAGGGAATGAAGCTGGAGACAAGGACTGGGGGTAGAAAGCTTTGCAGTCCCCTGGGCCAGATACACCAAGACCCTCCCTTTGTCTCCCCCAACATCAAAGCATGGGGTTTCCAGGTTCCAACAGAGAAGACTGCCCTGAGGGTCAGCATCTGCGGTCACAGCCAGGACTTTCTGGGTGGAAGCAGGTGGGGTCAGGTGTAGGGAGACAGGCAATTGTCTAGGAGAAGTGAGAGGCCCTCCGGCCTGGGACTGACTAAGGTGCTCCCATCCTGTGTCCACATCCTGTTCCTTCCACGTGTGCCTCCCATGCCAGGCCGGCCAGCCATGGCAGTTCAAAGGAGCCATGCTGAAGAGCGATAGTTGGAAGTGACTTGAACTGAAAGACAAATGCTTAAATTGGAGGGTGCAAGCTGCAGGGGTACAGGCCAGCTTCGGCTGCTGGATGGACATGGTGCTCACAAGGTTTTTTTTTATGTTTTAGAGACAGGGTTGCGCTGTCTCCCAGGCTGGAGTGCAGTGCCATGATCTTGGCTCACTGAATCCTTGACTTCCTGGGCTCAAGCGATCCTCCCACCTCAGCCTCCTGAGTAGCTGGGACTACAGGTGCATGCCACCATACCCGGCTAATTTTGGTATTGTTGTTGTTGTTGGGACAGGTTTTGCCACGTGGCCCAGGCTGGTGTTGAACGCCTGAACTTAAGTAATCCTCTCACCTTGGTTTCACAGTCTTGGGATTACAGACATGAGCTCCCAAGTCTGGCTGATGTATTTTTTCACAGCTCTGAATCTGTCACTTGAAAACTGAGTTTCCACCTAAAAATCTGGGTTTCTCAGTTCTCTTGAAAATAATTGGCATCCTGATGCCAGCGATGAGCTGGAGCTTCGCAGAGCTGCCCCCTGAAGGGCCTCGCCTTGTGTAACGAGCTCTGCTCGCCCGCCTGCCTGGTCCGGAGGCTTTTGACTCTGTGACACTTGCTACAACTTTTCACTAAAAATAAATTTAAAAATCAATGTACCCTAGCTTTTAACCGAGGGGTGGGATGGGGGTGCAGTACCTTGTGACCCCGAGTCGGAGGAATTCATAACACTCATCTCAGAAGGCGCCAGGAACCTTTCTCAGCACAGTGGACACCCCTACCTTGAAGATTCACTCCATTCTTAAATAGTCTCACCTCAAATTTCTCTTTCAAAGGTGCTGGGCACACTCATTTATTTCCATTACAAAATAAATGTAGCTGTAGCTGCTTAATAAAGAGACCTCTTTATTTTTTCGCTTTTTAAAGCTTTTATTTTTTAAATCCAGAGGCTGCTCCTTTAGCTGTGAGGACTCCCGGGCCATGCCCTGGCCTTATTTGACTGCGATGTTCAAAGCATGGAGGAGGCCTCTTTCAGCCACAGCAGGACTCCTGACTTTTCATTGCAGGGTACATAGAAACTCCTCTGTTAAACTTCAACCATCAGCTCAGAACGACCACGTAGTCCACGTAGCATGAAACTCCCAAGGCACGATGGTTTGAGGGCGGGGCTGGTGCTCCAATAGCCTCTTCGTGCGGTTTGATGGATTTTTTCAGGTGATCAAGCAACACATCCTCCACTTTGAAGCAGAGTTGCCCACACCTGGTAAGGATGGTGTCAAGCCGTGGCCTGGGGTGTCTGTCACTCACTCATCTGGATGGCAGGATGGCAGTTTCACCTCACAAGGGGCTGTTCCAGCGGTAGGCCCCCTAGGAGGAGTGGTCACTCCCTCCTGCTCAGGCCCCAGCTGGCCTGCTGGTGGTCTCTCTTCTCCCCTGACTTGCCTCTGGTTTGCTTCTATTCCAGGAGAGCACTGGGGTCTACACATCTGAACTACATCAGGCTTGGCAAGCCCACCAGGGCTGGCCTCTAGCAGCTCATGATGGAGGCCAATAATTCCTAATTTGCTCAGAGTCCCTCATGCCATCAGGAATTTGGCAAAAGCCATGGACACTCTTTCGCAGCACATGATGATACACACAACAGTTGTTAACATCACACACCCCACTTAGGGGGCCAAAGCCACCAAGTAAAGGGGCTGGGGAGCCTCGAAGATGACTGCAGCGCTGGGCCAACCTGCACATGTGCCTTAGGCATTAGGCCTGGAAGACAGAGACTAAATCCACCCCGTCTTCCATGGGACAACGCTCCACAAGCCCAGAAGGGCCACATCTTCCTTGACTATGTCCCACCCTCATTTATCAAATAACTGATCCAGGTCCAGTGCAAGAGATGAGCTGTGAGCTCACAGGTAAGTCACTAATACCAGTATCGCCATGCGTTTAAGTCAACGATACCAGTATCACACAGTGTCCTGGTGACACAGATGTGCGTTGTCGCCCCAGGTGCCCTGCCTCTGGCCCATCACCACTCACCTGTGCCCTCCCTCAGGTGCTCTGCTCCTAACTGGACAGTATGACCCAACCCTGAACGCAAGAAAGAAACGCCACACGCTGCATCTTCCTAAAGGTTGTTTTATTGTAAAACCATAAATACAACACTGACATGAAATCATTTAAGCAACTGATCCTCTCTAACCGTTAAAAGGTATCTTTTTGCCTTGGCATCAACCAACTGGGAAATAGTGCTGCAAGAATTCAGGGGGCAAGGGAGGTACTGAATCCTGGGCTGGGGCTTTTGGCGACTTAAGGAACCGAGTGGAAGCTTCCTCTTCTCCTTGGGAATGTTCCACTTTTGGACAAGAACAGACAGGTAAAAACAGCAACATTAAACAGCTGAGTTTTAAATTTTATTACTTTGTAAAAATCTTTTTTTTTTTTCTGTTCCTTTCCTCCATTTGACATCAGCAAAAGTTTTGAACATCATGAAACTGATTTGGCTGTAAATGGAGAAACGGCACCAAAACAAACTGAAACAAAAACCCAAAAGACAAACAGAAAACCCTAAATAAACCCTCCAGTTTGGTCTCGGGGGTTTACATATCACAACAAGAACCGTCAACTCAACCCCCATGCAATGTGACTCCTTGGAGAGCTGCTGGATCCACACCGATACAGGAGACCGCACACAACGTCTTTTGTTAATTAACACAGCAAGTGTGACACTAGGTAACTTTTTTTTTTTTTTAAATACAGTACATGGTACACAGGGTCCCCAAGATGGCCCTGCATAAACCCCTCGTGAAGACTTGAGCCAAGCACCGGCTGTTTATAAAAATATCGTGTTGCTACAAAAGTATAAATTAATGCTACCGGTATTAAGAAATATTAAACACATAAAACTTATAAGGATTAAGAAAAATATTCATTAATACCTGTAGAAAACTCTGGCCTAAAAAAGATATTTTTTTTGTGTTTGTTTTTTTGTAAATTTTTTTTTTTTTTTTTAAGATGACTTGAGTTTCTTGCACTCGAAGAGAGAGACACAGTCAGATGTGTCTATGGTATTGCCTAGAACGTCTTAACTACTGAGAAAGGACGGGGGTGATGTACACACGTGGTTAGAGTGGGGGTGGGGAGGAGGGCACCAAGGCTTTCTCAAGATTTACCTGATGTGAACAAATCACTGATGTGAAAAGTGGTGGGGAAAAGAAAAAGGCAGGATCAGAAAACAACTGAAAATAATTTACGCGTTTTAAAAAATATCTCTGCTTCGGGTGGTTGTACAAAATGATTTCCTGATGCTTGGGATCTGAATGGCCCTGGACGAGCTGCCTGGGCCAGCCCCCCGTGCGGCCCTCACTCTCTCCTGGCTGGCGAGGCTCAGCCTGGGTCAGTCCACGAGCTCGTTTCACCACGTGGGATGCCGCCCACCCCGGCTGGGTGGGAGGGAAGGTCCTAGGCGGAGACCGGCTGGCACCTGGGTTGTGGGAAGAGCCCCTCCTTCTGGCTGGTCTCAGACCTCATCATCTGTGCCAACCTGGAATTCAGGAAGCGTCACAGGAA